CACACACACACACACACACACACACACACACACACACACACACACACACACAGTGTCAGTGTCACAGTGGTCAATCTTATGAAGCGTGCATGATGCCTGTGTTTGATCTTTAGTTCAAACACAGTGTAGGAACTTCCACTCAGGTGGCAGGTGTTGCTATATGGAGGACAAAGAGTTTTTGGATCAAGACTCCACAWGGACCTTTAGCTRGTMTTTGTCTCTGTGTGGATAGACAGATTGGGAGCTAATTKTTCATGATTRCTCCACAGAGTGGACCAGCAGAGCTCAGAGGTTCCCAGTCCTCAGTCTGCCCAGCCACATCAGACCCAGCTGGACTCTATATTTATGGTGTGTACATGTCCAAGAAGTCCTTTATCTGTTGTGTCTACAGCAGGGATGAAAGTGGTTTTAAGTTCTTGCCATTTAGATTTGTAAGTTAAATTTTTTTTATCTTGTATAAAAATTATATTCATATTTAATTTACATTTATCAAAAAGAAAAAATAAGTAGGTCCTCTGGATGGGTTCTTCTCTYGTGAAACGTTTCATCTCTCCTACAAGAGACTTCTTCAGTCTAATGAGTTTCAGYTGAACCCTTATAAGCAGTGCCTCCACATGGACAAAGAGGTTAGTCACATGCAAAAGAGGACCATCGCCTAACAATAGACTTGATTAGCTCTATTTAGTCACATGCAAAAGAGGGCCATCGCCTAACAATAGGCTTGATTAGCTCTATTTAGTCACATGCAAAAGAGGGCCATCACCTAACAATAGACTTGATTAGCATGTGCCACATCACCTGACCCGTGTTGCGTTATGTGCATGTAGTGAGTGTAGGCGGGGCTGGAAGTCCCCTTGTTTTTGTCCCTTTTGTCCCTCTTTCCCTCTTTTTTCCCTTTTCCCTCTTCCCTCTTTTTAAAATAATGACATTCAATTAGGGTTGGGTATTGYAAGGGTTTATTTCYATACCGGTGCTAAATAGATACTTTCAAAACGGTACCGGTTCCTAAACGGTWTTTAAATCYGTACTTTAAAAATAAATAAATAAAACACACACACASAGAGAGGTTCATGAAGCAATAACCATTTCTGAGGCAAAGTCAAACTTGAAATTGACCAACTTATTAARTTAAAACCATTAGTAGGCCTAATTTGTCTTTGCACCAAATATTCTTAAAGCATTTGTTGCAGGTGGAAGTTTTTGCATCTTATTTTATAAAATGACACCACACTTTGGACCGTTTTGCTTTCAACATCTCGACTATAATATATAATATAAAACTGATAACTGCAGCGGCACCTGTTCAGCCCCTCTCCATGAAATCAGTTCTACTCGATTCACTTTGGGTCGGGTCGGGTCGGTTCTGCTCAGCGTCTGTGTGTCTCCACACAGTGGGTGTGATAATGTGCAGACCGTCCGCAGCGGCTTCAGCTTTTGTGTTAAAAATAATCATAAAGTAAAATTTAAAAAGCTGTTGTGGTCTTACCATTCGGACTTCACTTATATTTATTTATTTATTTATTTATTTATTTATTTATTTATTTATTTATTT